ATTATTCCTTTATCACAACATGGAGGGTCTCATTAGATTTCTTGTACATCTCATTAAGTTTATCGGCAGTCTCTAGAAGACTCTTGAAAGACCTCAAAAGTGTGGTTTTGAATTCTATATCCAGCAGTCTGCTTTCCTCCATTTCTGTCATTTGTGTCCTGTTTCTTTGTCTAGGCATTTTTTACACTTCGCTGTCAATAGAGTGGCTTTCTGTGCTAAGTGTCCCAATTACCTGAGGTAGACACTCTTGGTGCACCCCCTTGTGGTCTTTGTGCACCAGCTTATGTTCTTTATTATATTCCACAAACGAGTGAGATCATGTAATATTTATCTTTCTCTGACTGGCTTATTTCACTTAGCATAATGCTCCCCAGTGCCATCCATGCTGTTGCAAATGGTAAGAATTCCTTCTTTTTTTAGAGCAGCTTAGTATTCTATTGAGTAGATGTACCACAGTTTTCTAATCCACTCATCTGCCGATGGGCACTTAGGTTATTTCCAAATCTTAGCTATGCCTAATTGTGCTGCTATGAACATAGGGGTGCATATATTCTATATGATTGGTGTTTCTGTTTTATTGGGATATGTTCCTAGAGGTGGGATTATTGTGTCAAATGGAAGTTTCATTTTTAATGTTTTAAGGAAACTGCATACTGTTTTCCACAGTGCCAGCATCAGTCTGCATTCCCACCAGCAGTGCAAGAGGGTTCCTGTTTCTACACTTCCTTGCCAGCACTTATTGTTTGTTCATTTGTTGAGAGCCATCTGAGAGGTGTGAGATGTTACCTCACTGATGTTTTCATTTTTATCTCTTGTATGATTAGTGACTTTGAGCATGTTTTCATATGTCTCTTGGCTTTTAGTATGTCCTCTTTCTAAAAATGTCTATTTATGCCCTTTGCCATTTTTGATATATTTATCTTCCTTTAGTTGACTTTTATGATGTCCCTGTAAATGTTGGAGATTAAACCCTTATCAGAGATAACATTGGCAAATATGTTTTCCCATACAGTGGGCTTTCTTGTGGTTTTCTTGATGGTTTCTTTTGCTGTGCAGAAGCTTTTTATTTTGATGTAGTACCATTTGTTTATTTTTCTCCTTAGTTTTCATTGACCTAGGAGCTGTATGAGTAAAGATATTGCAACAACTTAAGTCTGATATTTTGCTGCCTGTGGATTCTTCTAAGATTTTTATGGTTTCCTATCATAAGTTTAAGTCCTTTATCCTTTTTGCGTTTATTTTTGTGTATGGTGTAAGTTGGCGGTCTAGTTTCATTTTATTTTATGTATCTGTCCAATTTTCCCAACACCATTTATTAAAGAGGCTGTCTTAAATCCATTGTATACTCTTGCCTCCTTTATCAAATATTAATTGAACATAATGGCTTGGATTGATTTCTGGGTTCTCTGTTCTGTTCCATTGGTCTATATGTCTGTTCTTGTGCGAGTACCAGGCAGTTTTGAGAACAGTGGCTTTGTAATATATCTTGATATCTAGTTTTGTGACTCCCTACAACTTTGTTTTTTTTCCTCCATATTGCTGTCGCTATTCGTGGTCTTTTCTTATTCCAGATGAATTTTTGGAAAGTGTCTTCTAGGCCTTTGAAATATTGCATTGGTATTTTAATGGGGATTGCATTGAATCTATAGATTGCTTTGGGTAGTATGGACATTTTAATGATGTTTATTCTATCAATTAATGACCATGGTATATTCTTCCATTTGATCATGTATTACTCTACCTCTTTTCTCAGCATCTTATAATTTTCTGATGACCAGTCCTTTACCTCCTTGGATAAGTTTATTCCTAGGTATCTTAATTTTTGTGTTGCAATGGTAAATGGGATTGCTTTTTTAGTTTCTCTTTCTGTGAGTTCATTATTGGCGTATAAAAAAAAGCCATAGATTTCTGGGTGTTGATTTTGTATCCTGCTATATTGCCAAGTTCATTTATTAAGTCTAGTAGTTTTTTGATGCAGTCTTATGGTTTTCTATATACAATATCTTGTCATCTGCAAATAATGACAATTTTACTTCTTCTTTTCCCATTTGGATGACTTTTACTTCTTCTTGTATGATCGCTATGGCTAGCACTTGCAGTACTATACTGAACAGGAGTGTTGAAAGTGGTCATCCTTGTGTTGTTCCTTTTCTTTGGGGAAATGGTTTTAATTTTTGCCCATTTAGTATGATGTTGGCTGTAGGTTTGTCATATAAGGATTTTATTATGTTGAGGTCTGATCAATCTATCCCCACTTTGTGGAGAGTTTTTATCAGGAAAAGGTGTTGGATTTTGTCAAATGTCTTTTCTACATCAATAGATATGATTTGTGATCTTTGTCTCTTAATTTGTTTATGTGATGTATCATGTTTATTGATTTTCAGACATGTTACCAGCCTTCCATCCCTGGAATAAATCCCACTTGGTAGTGGTGTATAATTTTCTAATGTAATTCTGGATCATCTTAATCTCGCAAGTGGCTGTTTCTGACGCGACTATGGTTGGGGAGGTTGCTGTATCAACCCCCTGACTGAAAGGCCTCACTTCAACAAAGTCCCTGAGGGCTCTTAGGGGCTATTCAGATTTTTTATCCTTTGTATCACTCAGGGTGTAGTCTAGGTGTGGCTGATTTGTTGTCTGGAGACTGCTGGTAGGAGTTAGCTTTTCAGGAGAAAATGGCTGCTTATGTTCAAGAATGTCCCAGTGACGGGCTCTCATTCACCTCTCCCCGACCTTCTCTTCTCCACAGCCTCTCCCCAGACCCCACAAGTCCACACCTCCACCTGCACCTCAGCCACGGGTTAGTGTTTGTATTTGAAAGGTCATATGAACTGGGTTTAATGAATAATAGCAAAGACTAAAAAAAGGGGAAACAACAGCGCCACTGCAAGTTTCTCTCCCCCGGGCACTGCACAGCTTGGGCAGTTCTTCAGACCACCCCTTCTGGGCTTAGCCTCTTGCAGCTGTGGACTTAGTTCTAGAATTACCTGCCACCAGTATCCCTGTGCACTTCCTTTCCACAATTGATGTTACACCTGTCCCCAAAGGACACGGACTTGGTACAGTGAAGGTTCCTTCTGACCCTCTCCGTTCAGACGTCTCCCAACTCTCTCCAGCCCAGATCCCAGATCCTACCATTCTCCAGGCATCCTCTTGCCCTTCCCAGCTTCAAATTGTCTCACTAGCTGTGCCTACTTCGCCAATTCCTGGTGGATGTTATTCGATTTAGATACTCCTTCTATCTGCTCCAGTATAAGGCTCGGGACATGTCTGCCTATTCAGCCACCATTTTGTCTCCTCCCATAATATTTTCTTATAATCCTTTGTATTTCTTCGGTGTGAGTTTTTACCTTTCTTCTTTCATTTGCAATTCTATTTATTTGTGTCCTGTCTATTTTGATGCATCTGGATAAAATTTTATCAATTTTGTTTATTTTTCCAAAGAACCATCTCTTAGTTTCATTGATGTTTTGTATTGATTTTTTAGACTCTATTTCTGTTCGGATTTTTACTATTTCCTATTTTCTCCTCACCTTGTAATTGTTTCTTGTTCTTTTTCTAGTTTCTTTAGGTGTAACATTAGGTTGTTTATATTATTTTAGTTTTTAGGTAAGCCTTTAATACTGTGAATATCACTCTTAGGAATGCTTTGGTTGTGTCTCATAAATTTTCTGTTTTCATTTTTATGTCTCTTAAGGTATCTTTTGATTTTTTTCCTTGATCTTATTGTTATGTATTTATTATTCAGAAGCATGTTATTTAGCCTCCATGTGTACTTTTCCCAACTTTTTTCTTGTAATGAACTCCTAGTTTCATACAATTGTGTTTGAAGAAGATTCTTACAATGATTTCAATCTTAAATTAATTAGAACTTTTTCTGTGTTCTATCATTTTATCTTAGAAAATGTTCCAAGTGAACTTGAAAAATATGTATATTCTGCTGTTATGGGCTGAAATTCTCTAAAAATATAAATTAAATTTATCTGGTCTAGTATGTAATTTAAGACTGCTACTTCCTTTTTAATTTTCTAATAGGAAGATCAATCCATTGATGACAATGGGGTGTTAAACTAGTCTATTATGATTGAGCTACAGTGGATTTTAGAATTTATGTACATCAAAATTTTCTTTACATATTTTTAAAAAGAATTTCAGGTTTTTTTTCCCCTATATATTTTATTGATTTTTTACAGAGAGGAAGGGAGAGGGATAGTGAGTTAGAAACATCAATGAGAGAGAAACATTGATCAGTTGCCTCGTGCACACTCCCTACTGGGGATGTGCCTACAACCAAGGTACATGCCCTTGACCGGAATTTAACCTGGGACCCTTGAGTCCGCAGGCCGACACTCTATCCACTGAGCCAAACCAGTTAGGGTTCTTTACATATTTAATGCCTCCTATATGGAATAGATATATGTTTACAAGGGTTACATTCTTTGGTTGGATTGTTTTCTTTATAATTAATTATTCAGTGTATTTTTTTCTTTCTTTTCTTTTTTTTTTTTGAGAATATCCATGTATCCTCCATTGTAGTTCTTTCTTTCTTTAAATTTATTGTTGACGATATTACAGATGTCTCAGATCCCCCCCCCCTCTTTATCCACCGCCTGCCAGCCCTTATGCCCCTGCATCTGGGCATCAGCACACTGTTGTCTGTTTCGATGGGCTATGCAACAATATTTGTCTGATAAAAGTGTTGCTGCTCCAACTTTTTATTTTTGTTTTGTTTAGCATTAAAATATCATTTTTTCAGGCCTTTTGATTTCTGTCTGCTTGTGTCTTAGAATCTATAGAGGGTCTCTTTCAGCATATATATGGGATATATATGGGTCTTGTTTTCTTATATATAAAGCTGCCTTTTTTTTGTAGCTTTATTTTTATTGTTGATGCTATTACAAATGTCCCCATTTTTCCCTCATTTGCCAATCTCAACCCAACCCTAACATCACTTTCCCTCTGACCATAACCACACTGTTGTCTGTGTATATGGTTTTACATATATGTTCTTTGGCTAAGCCCTTTACCCTCTTTTATCCAGTCCCCCCCCCACACACAAACATCCCTCTGAAAGCTATGAATCTATTCCCTCTGCATCTATTATGTTTGTTAATTTTGTTCATTAGATTTCACATATAAGTGAGATGATATGGTATTTGTCTTTCCCTGAATGGCTTATTTCACCTAGCAAAAAAATCTCAGGTTCTATCCATGCTACCACAAAAAGTAAGATTTTTTTTTTTTTGTGGCCAAGTAATATTGCATTGTGTGAATGTAGCACTGTTTTTTTATCCACTTATTTACTGATGGGTACTTATGCTGTTTCCAGATCTTGGCTATTGCAAATATTGCTCCTATGAACATAAAGGTGTATATATTCGTTTGAATTGTTTCAAAATTATTAGGATATAATTCCAGAAGTGGGATCACTGGGTCAAAAGGCACTTCCATTTTTAAATTTATTTTTATTGTTTAAAGTATTGCATATAGTGTTACATATATCTCCTGTTATCGCCATCAACCCCCCCACCCCCACCACTCAGCACATGCACTCACCACTTTAGTGTCTGTGTCCATTGGTAATGCTTATATGCATGCATTCAAAACCCTTGGTCCCCTCAGCCCAGCCTGTACCCTCTCCAATCCAGGACCCCTTGGGGGATGTCCGACTGCCAGCTAAGGCCCAATCCCGGGACCAGGCCTTAACTGGCAGTCGGACATCCCTCTCACAATCCTGGACCACTAGCTCCTAATTTCTCACCTGCCTCCCTGCCAGGTTGCCCCCAACTGCCACTCCTGCCAGCCTGGTCTCCCCGAACTGCCCTTCCGACAGCCT